ACCTCGAAAAAATTTTGGATAATGGATTTGTGCATACCTAAGGCTATACCAATTCATCATTTCAAATGTTCTGTCTGTATACCAAAAAAATTATATTCAGTCCCTTGCATCCCCATAGTCATAACACCACTTTCTACTTGTACAATATTCAGTCTTATCTTTTTTTACAAACTTGCTAGGAATCTGTAACTTTATTCCACAACTTATTACAACTTACTGTTTTCTAAATGACTAAGTGAATAGGAGGTAGGTTAAGAGGCAGTAAAGACCAGGCCAAAGGAGGTTGATGAATTCTGGTTAGTGGCCTATGCGGGTGTAATTAAGAAAACAACTAACAGTAATTTTATTTATACAGAAGTTAGGATATATATATATATATATATATATATATATATATATGTATTTATAGTGCATCAAGGTATCTTTTCTTACACAGAAGAGACAGATACCAATTTCCTCTCATCGATTTCACAACTCACTACATATGAGAACAACTGTTTCGTTGAAGATGACATATCAAATAATATCATCAAATCATATTTTACCTTCAAATTATCAGTTTTATCAGTAATTGCAAAACTATCTGTGCTGTACGAAATGTTTATGCAGTGGTTTTAGAAAATCAGCTAGACTAGTGATTTGAATTTCATTGGTGCGAAATTCCATCATCAGCCAATCCGTCAAATAGCTATGTCGTCGTTACTTAGTACCATCATCCACACCTAACTTGTTCCACTCTATTGATCATATTGGCCAGCAATCGAGGAAATGTTGGTAGATGATAGCATCAACATCCACATTGGTTTCTCAGATGTGGATTCGACCCACATACTTTACGCTACTTTTAAATAGTAAGTAGTATAAGTTAAAATTCGGCAAACATGGAAAATGTCCAGCATCATGATCGAAATGTTAGTTTCTAATAAAGTTGTTTCTATGGTACGGGTGGCTACGTTGACAACATTTTGAATCAAAATAAGACAGCTTGCTACTTCATTAACTCAAACAATCCATGCAAAGAAAGTTTATTTTGTGAAAGTGTGAAAGTGGCTTGTGACCGGCATTAAATCAGCAGGACTCGAGGCAGATTTAGTCAATTACTGATTAGTCTCAGCGAACGATTATCACGGAAATCAGTGTCATTAGAGCATAAAAAATACAGGAAATCGAAACAAAAGACTTGTAATCTATACAGACATTATTATTTTTATTCATAATGTCAAACAGTGTCAAATCAAATTATTTTTGGAACTTGATATTATGATATGCGATCGATAGTGAGTAAGAAGGAAATCCTGTACGCACGTCTCATGTTACTATGGACTCATCAGCGGAATGTATATGTAGCTGAGAGTTTATGTTCTTTTGATGACTCGAACACTGCTTCAACGCATCATTACACTATTCATCTCTGTTAACAATGTGCGTAACCAAAACTTCAATATCGAGACAACACTCACAAAATCTATATCTTCTAAAAGAAACTGTCAATTGCAGCCTCAGAAATCAGTGGAACATTTCAAAGAACTAATTACAAAAGTCAATTTATTGTTTCCAAATAAGTTCAATAATAATTTTATACTTGAAATTATTACTTTCACTTATTCCACTTCAAATCATTGTAGTGGTGTTTTGTTCTCTGAGCTGGATATTTTGGTTGTGAAGCTTCCATCCACCTGAGCTACAAATTTTCTCCATCATCTCACTTCAAATCATAAAATACACTCTTGCTGATGTTTCAGTTTAATTTAAATGAAAAAATGTGTATGCCGTTGGGAGTTGAACAGTGTCAATAATTTCTGAAGTTCTTTTTATTTGACACTGTGTTACAATTGTTTGTGCGTGAACTATTGTTGCCATGCAAAGTGAATCGGTAGACTTCTCGCTGTTTGAATCGACATATATATATATATATATATATATATATATATATATATATATATAGATAGATAGATAGATAGATAGATAGATAGATAGATAGATAGATAGATAGATAGATAGATAGATAGGTAGACAGACAGACAGATACCTGCCTAACGTAAGTCTTACAGATAACTAATCCCAAAGTCATGTGATATTATCGTCACTGATCTAAATTAGGACAAATTTCCTGAATTTAGGCTAAATAAGCTGTCAGTCTTGTGTGCCGTTACCAATACGAGGGTGTGCTGCCCATACAATGGAAGTGTGTTTCGTGAGAGACCTAAAAAAAAATTTAATCAGGATTGATCCTAGAGATTTGAAAGGGTGACTGCAAGGCTCAAGGCACAACTAGTTGTGACCGGTCACTCACTTTATCCAATATACCAATAACTGACGTTTCCCATAGATAATTCCGTTGATAATAGTTTCTACTAGTAAAATAAACAATACTATTCAATTATTTTGTTCGGATCAGGATATAGAATGATGTGACGAATTCAGTGATAAAACTAATGTGGATATAAAAATATTGAAAACTGAGTTAACTGGCCGATTATGTACATTTATAAGTATATATATATATATATATATATGTAAAGCGAGCAACGGGTCCTGATAGATTGACCCCTGAGATATTTAAGGATGGTGGTCCAGTTTTAGCAGCTAGATTGACTGAGATCTTAGGTAGAAACTGGGAACTGGACACAATCCCATCCGACTGGTCTCAATCACTGATTGTCCCAATTTATAAGAAAGGACAAAAGTCTTCTTGTGACAGAATTATCCTTAGACGCCTTACTAGTGCTCGTGAAGAGCAGACTGGAGAAATCCAGGCTAATTCTCGACCCGGACGTAAATGTACAGACCAGGTATTCACACTACGACAGGTCCTGGAACACATACACACATTTAGGCGTCCTACAATAGTTGTCTTCCTGGACCTTAAGGCGGCATTTGACTCAGTGGATCGTGAGGTTCTGTGGCATTGCCCGTCATTGAAAGGTGTACCAGAGAAGTACATTAACTTTATACCAGCTCTCTACTCGAACACCACTGGTCGAGTTTCAGCTTATGGCGAGCTGTCATCGGAATTGATTACTTCAAGTGAAGTCCATCAGGGATGTCCACTTTCTCCATTCTTGTTTAATTTTATCATAGACACGCTACTAGATATAACATTATCCTCGTCTGAATTTTCAGGAGTGGACCTTCTACCAGGAAAATAGCTGGCTGACTTAGAATATGCCGATGACATAATCCTACTTGGTGAAGACACTGACCTAATGCAGTCTTCTGACAACCCTAAGCATCAATGCAAGCATGTTTGGGATGCGGTTCTCCCCCTCGAAATGCAAAATGTTGCATTGGCACCTGAACTAGTGATAAGGAGAGAAGTAGTCGAACGTATCGACCGCTTCACTTATCTGGGGGGTCTCGTCAGTGCCGATGCCCCGGTGACTGACGAAATCTCAGCACCGATATAGAAAGCTAGATTGGCTTTTGCCAACTTGCATCATTTATGGCGTAGGCGAGATATCCGTTTGCTAACCAAAGGTCGAGTGTACTGTGTGACAGTTCGCTCGGTTCTCCTAAATGGATCCGAAACATGGCCGGTAAGAGTAGAAGATATTAGTAGATTACTAGTATTCGTTCACAGATATCTTAAAAGCATTGCTCGTGTATTGAGGGACAACCGAGTAAGCAATGCTGTCGTTAGGAAACGAGTACTTGGTAAGGATGGCATATCAATTGATGAAGTATTGAAACTCCATCAGTTGAGGTAGTTCGTGTTACGAACGCCCAACCACCGACTGCCTCGACGAGCTATGTTTTGTGGTGTAGGACTAGGTTGGAAGAAAGCTAGGGGCGGCCAAACCAAAATATGGCAGAAATCCATGAAGTCACTGACAAGTGGGCTGAGTCATGTTAGCAGATGTAGGCTACTTGGTTAGGGTCCCCGAGATGAAAGTCGCCGATGGTTAGAGACTTTGAACGACATGGATCAAAATCGTTTTCCATGGCGCAGGTGCATCTACTCTTTGTGTTCTCTAAAATCCTAATCTTCTGGATTCTTCAATATCCACCTCACTGATTTATACTTCTTGAATATTACCTTCAAATCCTAATCTTTTCCATTAGCAGTAATTCTTCTACTATCTCTATCACTATGGGATTTGAATTGACAATTGCATCTCTGTGCTAATGTGGTGTGGCGACATGAACTGATGTACTTACGTACGAAATTCTACGTTTTAACTGACTGACTGACCAGTATGAGATTAAGAAAAACTGATTATCGAAACTAGAAGTTGGTAGAGTAAGGTTCCGAATGTGTTACACAGTTACTTCACTTATGAAACAGCACTGTCTTCACTATTTACAATACCTGTGTTTACTAAGCGCTCAGAATAGTCTGTGAGACCGATGAGATGATGAGACTTTTAAAATCATGATAAGAATAGTAAGTTGTACGAAACTAGACAACATCAAATGGACATGAGAACTCTAGTTGGATGAACGTTATTTGTGATATCAACTTTCCCATTAATTAATTTTTTCTATTTAACATTCCGTAAAAATTATCCGATTCACTAAATATAGATTCCTGAAAGCTCAATATCAATTTATGATATATTATTACCCAATCCTAAGTGTACAACACGTGTCCAGTAATTTTTTTTTGGGTAAAGATAATTTCTCAGCTGATATCAAATTATGACAATTCGCTTGCCTAACTCACGATAAGTTTCTCTCAACCAACTATCGATCAGAACCGCCCATTCAATGTTAACGAATAAATAATGTACGTTTTGACCTATATATGTGTATATCATGTAGAACAGACATATCTGCCAAAAAAATACACACACTCGTATCCACATGCTGATCCTTTTATAATCATTGCGTAGGTTACGAATTTTCTACTGATTGTTGCATATGTGTGTTGACTACAATAATTTTCAACTCGTAGCCTAATTGATTTGTGATTGGTCAGCTATCGATCAATTGACCTTGTAATAATTATGGACATATATTATTATTGCCTATATTTTCGACCAAACATTATGAAGTCCTGTGTATATTTGGAAAGGAACTTGAACTAAATGCGTAAAATAGTTTGTTTTTTTTTCCTCTAAATTATTATTCCATCATTGAATTGTTGTTGATTATGAACAATAAACGAAGTCGATTTAGTAGTCCAATATGGTTTACTTGTTTTTGTGTTGATTCACGTCCTGGTTTATTTGAAGAAGCTGATCGAAAACTAGCTCGTTCAATTCAAAAAGGTAATCTTCCAGCAATTGAACGTGCTTTAAGACGTATCAAACAACCATTAAATAATTTAACTTTAACAGTGAAACGACGCCATCTAAACACAGCATATCCACATTTAGTTGATCATCATCGTGCTAATGGAACAGATCCTTTTATTAATTTCTATCAAGAATGTTCACCAGTTATATGGGCTATTGATTGTTTACAATGGCATGTTTTACCATTATTGTCACGTTTCGGTTTAGATTTAAATCGACCACAAGCATGTCGTCGTTGGACTTATTTGTATTCATCATCTAATTCACGTGCAAATACATCACCATATCGTAAATTTTGGACACGTGGTCGTTATACATATCAATCGGCGTTAGATTATTTTTTTGCTAGTATTTATGAATTGATCGGTGAGCATAGACCAAATTTTTATCACGGTTTAAATGATCCCAATCCATTGACATTTTATTATTCACATTTATCAACCATTTTATCCAAAGGTGTCGATGTACATCGTATTGATTCTGTGATTATATTTAATTCATTGGCTATTAGTTTTGATCAATATTTATGCCGATATACTAATGAACATGCATTAGTCCCTGATATACCAGAGAATAATGATTCATTTATTGAATTATACATTGTGAAACAATTAATTGAAAATGGTTTTTCTCAATTTGAATGTATGGATTATTTATATCCATGTTGTAATTGGTTTGGTATATTATTATGTTTAATATGTCATCCGAATATACATTTATATCAAACAACACATTTACCAACAATTATTAAACAATCTACATTATTATTAATTAATTTACTTGCATTAAAATGTACATTTCCAAATGTTGAAGAATTTCATGAATCATTAGAAAATTTACATTTACGTAAAATTTATTCAAAACGTTATAGTGAAAAACGAAATGAATTCAATGCACGTTTAATGGTATTACATGATTTATGTCAAATGTTTATACATCAACCATTAAGTTTAAAAATATTAGCAAGAAATATTGTACGTAAACAAATTGGTGGTATAAATTTTTGTGTGAAAACAATGAATATTGGTTTACCAACACAATTGGTCACATTTCTGCAATATATTAATCATGAACATTTAATTCCGAATGGTATACCAAAACAATTAATTAAATTAGCTCAAGGTGAATGGATTGATATTCTGGGAAAGAATACTAGTTCACGATCACGTTCAATTGTTAGTTCAACAAAATGTAATGATAATCTTTACTCTAAAGAATTCATGAGCATAATAAATACAACGAACTATTTAGATCATGTCAATAGTCATCATTGTGATAGACAAGTATGTCCTAGTGGTAATAATCTTTTACGACGTGGTAGAGCATCAGAACGACAACATCTTATATGTCAGCGACCAATGAACAATCATCAACCATTGAGGCCAACATCTGCACCATTGACTAGAAGAACACTTATTACATGAGAATAAAAAATAACATTTACTCAGTAATTATTATTTATCTCAGGGACCATAAGAAATTGATTATTAACAATAACAATAATTTTAGCTATTTTCTTTCTATTGTTTATAAAGATTTCACATTGATTGTTCTTATAAAATTATTTATTGAACTAACTAGGTGAACAGAAAGTTCAAATTTTATCATAATATTTTTCTGTTGTTTTTGTTATTGTTGTATCGTTTGGATTTTTAGTTTATTGTTTCTAATGCTAAATGATTTATTGTACATTGAAAACTCTATTTTGTTTGTATTAAGTGCATAAATTAAAACTAGAATACAATCGATAAACATTCCCAACACACCCCTACATTATTGATTTTAAACCTCGGAACCAATCAAAACGCTTCGATAGTTATTGACCAGTTAACTATTAAATATGTATGTTGTTAATTTTCTCAAAATTAGTACATAGTCAGAGATTGTTTATCAATTTGGTTATAATTTCTTCAAGCTTCTTTTTCTTTTTTTAAATGAAAACCTTTTGTAGAACTTTCTCAATAACCTCGAACATTGAACCCAATCTTTATCAAAATAAATTTGTATGTGTATTTCTATATGTTATCCGTTTGTTTTATTTGGACCAAATGTAATCTGACTACTATTTTGTCAGCTTCAAAAGTTTTCTGTGATGATAGTACCAGTCAATAATCCAAGTCAACCGATAGTTTACTTGTTACTGTTGGTACTTTGTTGTTAATTAATATTGGTTTGTGTTATTTGTTAGTGTGAGTGAGAGAGAGAGAGAGAGCATATCGATCGCTATGCTGCTTCAAAGTAAAAGTTGAGCTTTTTCGAAAGTCTTATGGCCGATGCCTTTTAATAACCAGAGTAATAAATACTGCGGTTAATTGAAATAGCTGTACACTATTGGAAACACTAGGTCATTCAGGAAGCGGCGAAAATGAGACGTGACGGCGTTGCTTTGTTTGGAATTCATGCGACTCACTAAATACAGTTCGGACGAAAAAAGGTAGACATGAAAATGAAATGAATAACACAAGAAGTTGAACTGATTTCATCTGAAGAAACACGAGAATCAGGATTGACGAAGCACATGTTATAGCTCGAGTACTGTGATCGAAAACACTTGCCAAAGTCACTAATCGAAATTTTGACTATCAATTTCATTATTTCGCATCTACTTTTTCATATTGAACGAAGAGTAATCAATAAAACGTTTGCTTTCACTAATTTATCATGAGATAACGCAAGCTTAGCTCTTATCCATTCGTCATCTGCAAGCTGTCTTTATTCTTAGTCTTGAATCCGAAACTACGATTGTAACTAGCTTTTTTTCATATGTTCCATTGAATCATGACTCGAAACTCATGTGAACTCTCATCGAAGCAATTCTGAAATCACAAGTATAGTATTTCATAAATGTAAGAGGATGGAGTAATAGGTTTGTAATTAAGTAACAGTAGCTTACAACAGTCTATGCAGCGTGGAAAAGCTGACGGTCAGGAGAGTAGAAAATACAAAAATTAAATATTTCATAATTAAAGAATAGTAATAAAAATAACAACTTCAGTTTGGGAAGTTCACCAACATAAATACCCATCATGTTTGAACATATTCTTTCAAATAAATCAGAAAATGTTGACAATAAAAGTCATTCAGTCCTAGGCCTTCTCCAACGACAGCATTGGTGACAAAGATCAGTTATCGAAAAGTTAATGTTGATTGTAAGGAAATGACCGGAAAAGAACCTAATCATGATGATGAGGAAGCTGAATTTCTAATCCGAGATGGAAGACAAACAGTAAGTGGCATTATAAATTAGGAGAAGTAAGCAAGAATGACACGAAATTGGCAAATCTATCTGCTTTCCATTAAAATGGTTACAAGACACATGTAGGAGTTAATTTGTCCTAGAGATGAATTTCTAGAACTGTAAACGCAATATTGGCGAGCACAAAGTCTATGGGAAAGCAATAGTTATAACAAGATCAACTTCTGCTTTAAACTTTATCTGTTTCTAAACATAAAAACAATTAAATTAGTACAATAAATAAGGAAATTACAATTATCAAGTAAGACGAGCAAACGTACCGACCAATATAGCGTGTCTTATGGAAATGAATAAAGTTATGAGTCACATCAATATAATAAGATAATAATGTCCTTCAATTAGTAGGTCATTTACAACAAAGAAAGTTTACAGACACGTCAGATCAGATCACGTGATGGACGCTCAAACCACAATTTGATTGGTTAGTTGTGAAATAACTACAATTAGTTATGGAAATAACTAACAACACACTCTTTGCCCCTCCCCACCACATACATGTTGGGTTTCATCGAACTGTACTACAGAAAACCAGAACAATCACATCTCAATAAATAAAAATTTGGATGGTCCATAGAAGACGAAGTAACTTCCGAACCTTACCTGGTGGTGGAAAACGAAAAAAGAAAGGAATTTAAACAAGAATGCCAGTTTCAGAATGATCGATTCATACTTTCAATGGAACTCACTAAATCTACACAATCTATAATGAAAATAATATTAAATTGGTTTTAATAATTCATATTTCCCCATTCTAATCTCAGTTAACAATTCAAAATACATAACTGACAGCTTTAAACAATGAAACGTAATGACTGTAATCTTAAATTGAATGGTTATTCATTCGTAAATCTTTTCTTATTTGTGAGTGTGTTTTTATCACTATTTCTTAATCCGGTCAAGCTAAAAATAGAAATCAGGTTATCGCTTGAAACTAAGCTTTGGGAGTTGTTATTATGACCTTGAACAGAATTTATTGAACAGACAGTAATTCGGCAATACACATATACGTACGATCATTTAATAGGTCATTGGTTGAAAACAATTCATATCAAGTGTATAATTCTTTGGTCACATGAAAGAATGAAGAATAGGATGGATGGATTAATACTTGTTGTACGTTGAACACTTGTACTGCTGCTCAATTACAAATAGTATTTCTGTATCAACACGACTCAACTGATAGTCGTCCGATGGTTTTTCACTGACAGTGTGGTGCGAGCTACTTATAAGTAGTATATGACGTGAGTATCAACGTAATGTCTGGCAGCCGAAAATGGGGGAAGATCAAGAAAGGAAGAGTTAGAACACAATGGAATTTCTATGAAACGCATGAATAGTGACAATGGATTGATGTTTTGCAACAGGAACAGTCCAGTTCGAGATGATGAACTGATATTTTGCAAATTAACGATTTACGATATGGTTTTCCGATTTTACTGAGTAACTCTGTAATTTTCGTTAAATACAATCCGGTTGCCCCATCTGTGTTCCCGTTAACTACAACAGTTAGTACGATGTCGGCATAGAGTTTGTTTATATAAAATCTAATCAACTGAGGTGTAGTAGTGGCATGAATATTGTCAATGTTTCGATGTAACCTGATAAATGATAGATAGCATTGATGAAATAGAGAAATGACAGGTTATCTGATCGTTCGTTACTTATTATCGGTATAAATGTGATTCTGTGTATGATTACAAAAGCATGTTGTATTTGAACAATTCTGTGAGTGATCAATCAGAAGAAGCTCTTAGACTGGACTGGTTCGTGATTGTAACTGTGAAAGTGATAGAACGTTTGCGAACCATATTTCAGTCATATTGACCAATGTGCTTACCACTGACTAGGCCGAAGTTGTATTGGTGGAGTTGTAGTGAAGAACCGTCACCATTGGAGTTCAGAAAATATATAATTTTCTCATTAGATTTCAATTGATATCACAAAATCGTCTACAAGTGATGTTTTATTGAAATTATGTTATCTTAGTTTTCAATTTAACATTATGAATTTATTGGTTGCTATGATGAGTTGTATTTATAATGTTATTATTATAACTTAATACCATTTTACTAGTGTTTTGCTAATGCTCATTCAATAGGCGAATATTAATTGATTTAAATACACGAACATTAGAACAAACAAGGACCTCAGTATTAATACGTCACACAAATCAATGTATTATTATTTAGGGTGGAATGCGATCCCAGTACCCGAACCGAAGCAGCTGATTCTTTTAGACGGTCACTCCTTGAGCCTTTTAATCAGAATTCTAATCCACAAGGTAATGTTATAACATAAGGAGGTGCAGTCCTATGGTAAACATTAGGTTTACGCACGGTCCTTAAAGCCAATGTACACTATTGGCTTGGAATGATGGTTTACAAACTCCCTTAGGTGGGTCTTCCGTACCTACCAATCTATTTTAAGCCTCAGGCGAATATTCGCTTTTCTCCCAGTATAATTCTATTATGTCCGTCACTTAGTACGCTTGAGGCGATTACGAGTTTACCTTAGTCGATAAACGCGAACGAAACTTTTACCAGCGTCCAGTTAGGCTGCCTTGAATCACAGGTTGAAGTAAAAAGACTTTTTATATATATGTATATATATATATGAATATATATGTATATTCTACAAACACCCAGCAATCAAAGTACCATCAAGCATACAACTCTCGTTTATTTATACATCATAGAAACGTCCTTGGGACAGTTAAGAAAATAGCACACTAAAATACACAGCAGCCAATCACAGACATGGATTTTCATGGTGGGAATTGAAATCTCAAGGTCAACTGATCAGCCCATGCTGGCAAAGGTGAAATCCAAAATAAGGCATTTAACAAGCGAGTTTTAAGGGATCTAACATCCCCAACAAATTCAAAGACAACAATTTCAAGAGATTCAAACCGTTATGATAATAAGATCTATTTAAATTTATTATTTAATTTGCAATCATGAAGATGTGTCGTTTGAATGAAGTATTAATAACACACTAAAAACTCTACCGACATTGAAAAGCGACCACACGTTCTATTAAAGCGTATTATGTTATCTGTGTTAATTAAATGGAATGCGTCGGAAGATGAACGACTGGTATCATAGTTAAAATAGTTTAACAAACTATTTAGGCCAGTAGACTGATGATATAACGGTCCGTGCCAGTTGCACGTGATCTATGCCAGGATTGTCCAAATATTATTTGGCATACAGCAACACATACAACACGTAGTCGCAGTCAAATGAACATGATCATTTTTATAGCTAATTCTTAAAAATATTTTTTTGTCGTGATTTTAAACTATGCGTTAATTATATGAATTAAAAATTACTTTGATCAAGTAGAATGATAAGATAACCAATCAACGTACGATTTTAATCAGTATTTAGATCAATCATTCTAAATTATCCAATCAAAAATAAACAGATTTTTAATAATTAAATGTACACATATTGAAGTGATATATTTATACTTATTATGAATATTTTCTACTGATTTCCTGTATTAAGAGTTGTGGTGAGTGTTCACTTGAACGATTTGATAAGCATATATGTAGCGCACTGTAACTTGATTTTCGCTAATCACAATTTTTTACTACTCATTTCAGATATTTCAAATAGGAATAAGAATATGTCATCTATACGTTTGATATTATTTTATTTCATTGGGATTGCATTTCCAAGTTACTTGCAATGTCAAAGCGTTTGTGATGAATTGAGTAAAATGAAGTTTAGTTCATATGACAAAAGTGTTTATGAAAATGAAACATATAAACAGGTAAGCATGTAGTTAGAAAATTAATCACAGAATACTAGTTTGATCGTTACTATTACTCTCAAATAATTCATCGCCATCAGTCTTCTCCAATTGTGAAGGCAACTTTCAACAAAGTTGACACATTCCCTAAGGTAAGTAGTGCATTATGTTTAACAGAACTGAAAAAATTAA